ATGTGCTGAATTTAATGTCGAAAAAAATGTTAATCAGGTAAAGTGTAAAGACTTACAACACCTTATTAAACCAAATAATGCCAAACATTTTTCCGGGAGTTTCACACGCAATGAAACATGCAAGAGACTAAGAGATAAGAAGACTGATACCGCTTCTCCTCAGCAGCAGATGAAAAGTTAAAGGGAACCAAAGAAAAATATGACGAAAAAAATTGAAGTTGGTACTGCAAAGCAAAAGATAAAGCTGCAAAAGATGTTTTAAGAAAATAAAATTATATTAAGTTTCTGTTGTTAATCGCAAAGTTACTTAAAGTCACTTACCAATAGCGTATTTTTTGTGTTCACTTTATTGTAGTAATACTACTTTATTCACTGACATAATATTACTCATTTGTAGTAGAAGAATCATTAAAGCTTTATTTTCCACTCACATCGTTCTTGCTGTTTTCTTTATTGATGATTTACATCCTTTTTGTCATATTTTTTCTGCTAATTCGATGAAATAATATAATGTTAATAAACTAGAAATCTGATATCGCTCGTAAGATAATATTCGTTATTTTATTAAGTTTCAATTTTAAACTTGATGATTTCTAATTTTAGTTTTGAAATATAAAATTTACTTTTGTACCAAAGAAATTAAAGCGGCATTAATCGTTTTCCCTGTGTAGGGTTTTCATTTAGTTAAAATGAACAATAAAATATAACAAGTTGTTCAGAACTAACTGTCAGAACAGGATGAGACAAAGATATGCCCCTTTGAAGAAGATTTGCATGTGTTTGACAGCACAATCTTCAATGAGAAGAGTATTCGTTAACGAATTCAAAGTTTTTGTTTCAATAGAACTTCTGATATGAAATTTCCTTCAGACAGTGAAATCAAAAATAAACTAAGAAGCTTGTTAAAAGTTTTAGCCAGTTTCCATACCAAAAATTGTATTAACCATAAAAAGTTATGTAAATTTTTAGAAAACCAAAAATTATTCCGAGTTTGATTCTGTCACTTTCACTTGCTGTACGTGCCAGAATGGTATTTCTCTTTTTCTTGTTAAATGGTAGAGCATGAAGCTTAAGAATAGCGTGAAGCTCTCAAGCATGAAATTCCGGAGGAATATTATTTTGAGTATGAAGCTTCTAAAGACTGTTTTTCATTTTTTCAGAAATTCCTAACTGTTCTTTGTATAATTTTGGTATATCCTTTGCAATAGCCTGTAGTCGTGCTCGTCCCAAAACATTGATTTAATGTTAATTTCGCCGGAATTTTTTTTTTATTTATTTTTGTCTCGTACCACATAGCTTTAATTTTCATCCGCGATACCTTATTTCTATCCTAGTATGTTCTTCAAGAAGGAACTTTTCAGTGATTTAAATCGAAAAATCTGGAAACCTTAACTCTTTACCCTGATAAGGTTCACTTGATTTTTTTATTTCTTAAGTCGCTTAGTGCGAGCCCACCGGAGCACATCAAGCAGATCATTGAGTAAAAATAGTGGTCTGTGCATTGATTCCTCCATGTAAGAGCGTCCCTTTTCCAAAAAGTAAAAAAAAATTCAAAAAGTTATGCTGGATAAATAAGTAGTTTTACTGTTTGCAGTCCTCCTTCCCTGCACTATATTTTCATTATTATAAGCACGATTCACAGAAAAGGCCAAAGCAATCAAATTTCTCTTCTCGAGGTGGTAATAAAAAGAACATTTGACAATTTCGAAACCTTGGTATATAGAAAAACCTACTCACATTTAACTAACATTTAAATTCAAACTCAGATCACCCGCTAATGGAAAAAACGGCATTGTAAAAATTTTGTATCATAGAGATAATAATTCCAAATGAAGGGAGTTTTAAATTTCCATAACTATCCAAATTCCTTTATGAGCAAATAAGAAAATAGAAAATCAAAAATTAAAAGGAAATTAAAATGAACTCATTACGAACCTTCTTATTTCATTTATTACGGGGATTTCAGACAAAATTAAACGAGTACCGTTAACAAAATCAATATTAGGACTAGTTTTAAAACTGAAAGTACAACTAGAAGAAAATTTACGAAACGAAACCTCATGACAAAGAAGAAAAATATTAAAAATGTGTTTTACAAAATTCCCTGCCAATGTGATAAATTGTTATAGCGGAACCTTCCAGGTCATTAAATGAAATAACTAAAGAACAGAAACCATACATAGAAAACAAAACATTTTACAGATCACATATTTGCAGACATGCATTTCACAAGTGCCACCAAATTCAATGAAATTTTTTAATAATTTTTTCTCAGAACAGTCAAGTATAAAAACCCAAATTAAAGACGAGCCTTCATTTTACTTAACCGAGATAATTATACATTTTCATTTTTATTTTATTGAAGCCATACATTGTTAACTATCAAAAGAGATAGACTTTCGAGGCCATTCCTTGAAACGAATAGGTTTTTCGGGTTCTTAGGCCGTCGCTCAGTAGAGTTTCTTCTTGACGTTTCGCAAGCACGAAGGGCTTGAATCTTCAGAAGTGGTTTGCTTGAACGCTTAACTCTCGCTCAGAACAGTGTAAGCGTTCAAGCAAACCACTTCTGAAAGTGCAAGCCACTCGCGCTTGCGAAACGTCAAGAAGAAATTCTACAGAACGACGGCCTAAAAACCCGAAAAACCCATTAGTTTCATTGTTATCTATGCTAAAATCTGAAGTAGAAACACAAAAATTGTAAAAAACCGATAACTTTTTTTCACATTTGTATTAATTTAGTCTTGTTATACCATTTATTACTATACTCCTTTTTAGGTAGCTTTTGAGAAGTAATAGCAGATTTGCGACCGAAACGTCAAGATAATTTTTCTAACTTTATTTTTGTACGAATTTGTTTTCTTACTTACTCAAAGTAATCTTAATTAAGACTCCTAAGTGTATCTCAATTACTCTTATAGTCGCAGCCATCTATGTGGTAGCTAATGAAAATTTTTGAGGCTAAATGCCTAAGAAAAAATTTGATACAGCGTGTTTCTGCTGTCCCTAATTAACTTTTAAACTTTAACCTTTTTAACCTTTTTAACCTTTTAACTTCAACGGTTAGTACGGCAATTAGACGATTTTCGATGGTAAAAACTGCAAAGAGGGCAAATATCCATACTACTTGCATATCTACATATACAGTGAGTGCATCTATTTGGAAAATGCCCTAGTTATATAGCAAATTTAGAAAAACAATATTTTGCGATGAAATATTACCGTTAAATATATTCCCAATGTTATAAAATATTGAAATTTAGGTCTCTATTTTTACATTTTGATGTTGCGAATTTATGAGCAACGACCTAAGCAAGACCTGGTCATTTGTTAAGAAAATCTGGCTGCACATTAACTCATAGAAAATTGTGTTGTTTATTTTAATTAAATGCTCTTGATTCTGTCCGAAGGAGATTCCCAAAATGAATCTCTACATGGCCCGTTGCGTTATTCAAAGTTGTTGATGGATTTTCCAGTCGGAATGTGTCTCTGTGATCCTTTTAGGTGTGTCGTGATCATAAAGTATTTCGGCTCAACTTCTGATAACGTGACTCGCTATCCTCACTATTCTCCTGATAACCAACTAACTGCTTTTTAAGAAAAGCCTTTCGTCTGGAAAATATTGTTATATCTGAATTTTCATGGACTATCATCATTGTTTCAGGCAAGCAGTATTTCGACCAGAAGTATAAACTTTTAAACTAGTTTGACTGAAAATTACAATGTATAAAGAATCATATCCAGCAAGATGTTTAAAATCGCGTTCAGAAACTGTAGAGATTTAGGTAACAAATCCAACAAAAAAGCTTGTACTCTTTCCCTTTGTGTAACGAAATGACTTACCAGAGCTTCAACATTTCCGCTCAATGTTATTGGAAATTATTATTTTTTCCGGAACCATTTTTATAATAACGCAATTAATATTTCAAAAATTAATTTAAAAATGTTGTTGGCGTTCAAAATGTGTGCATACTACTACATCATTCCTCAGATTACACCAGCCGCGCATAAACTTGTTTCTTTCTTCTTTAATTACTCAGTTTCTTATTCTTTTAAAAAGTGTAAAATAAAATATGGTATAATCGTATGTACCGGGCTGATAACCCTGTATCGAAAAATTGCAATAAAAAATGTTTCAAATGTAAGAGTTAATATGTGGCTCACTATGTTGATCCAAACTAACATAAAAATTTCGAAAGTAATCTGACATTCATACCACAGCTACTAAATTAAATGACCAAATACGTTGTTGATTGGGTATATTTTTAATTCCGTAACCATAAACAAGATGATTCGCCGGGTCATTAAAAAATTCCAAGCCTTAACAGTTTTGAATAATCTGAGGCTACTTGTTTCCATTTAAATGTCCATCAAATAAAAGTAATTACGTATAAGCAGCCTTGAAAAGTCGAGACGCATAAAGAGCGCACAATAGACATTAAATTAAGCTTTGAGGAAAAATACAAATATGTTTGGAGTAGCCGCTGAAGTACCTACATATGTAAAACCAGCTTGAAAGTTATACAAAAACCATTATAAACCGGTCTATGCATGTAAATATATATGTGTTAATCTGAATATAGTTCCTAATAATTATCTTTTAATAATTTCCAATTAAGCAACTGCTTTTTCAAAGCGCGATCCAAATTATAAGAAAACAATTTCGCAAGTTTATAATTCAATTCTCTTAATCAGTTGAAAATCATTGAGGTTTCACTTCCTAATCCCAATTATAAATTTAAGCGGATTGAGATGGGGTTAGTTTTAGTTTGAAATTCGCAGCATCCACTAATAATGGCTAAAACTTATCTTGACCTATAAAACTTTGTGTTTATTTGATCTTCTCATTTTCCTTAACACCATTACCCGTTGGTTTTGGTTATCCTGCTGGCATTATCAATATTTATTCAAACTAACTGACAAAAGTGCGCTATCAGTTTCTGACGAACGGTACTTGAAACTACATTTAATTAAAGTTTTATTTAAACATTATTTTTTTACAGATATTCCTTCTACTTGCCTTGTTCATTTCGCTGACAGTAGCATTGCCAGCACCCTTCTTGCATAAAAAGTTTGGCGGCCATGGCGGAGGTTATGGAGGAGGATATGGAGGTGGCTATGGAGGAGGACATGGGGGTGGTGCAATCATTATAGTGAAGAAAGTTTACTCTGGTGGTTATGGAGGATATAATAGTGGTTACGGTGGTGGTTACGGAGGACACGGAGGTAAGCTATTAGAGAAAAATGTAAAAAAACAAACCATTATTTAATTATTTTCTCGCTTATTTCTTGTTAATGATTCTAATTGACTATTAGCATTGGACCGCAAGGGATACGAAGCTGGGTAAATTTGAACAAAGTTACGCATGTTGATGCAAAATGAAATGTTGTATTATACTACTTTCAGAAATATTTGAAGAAAAAACAGAAATTTGAACAAATTATTATTTTCTCTCTGTGCTTATTTGGCGAGATATTTTAAAATACTTGGCTCATGTTCAGAACACGCTGAGTATGACATGATCTACCGAATTTACTACAAACTTCTGGCAGGTGCTAAAAAAATTATGAAACTCGTTTTTTTTTCTAAATCTGCCAGTAGTGGTAAATAGGGATGCGATAGTTTCCTCCGGTATGCAGGGTATTCGGAAAATGGATTAGGAATTTTTTAAATTGCTGAGCAAAAACCATCCCAGCGCAAAATTAATCTAGATTCAAAATCTTGAGCGATCGTTCTATCAAATATTCTCCAGTGATTGGTGTTCCATATCAGCTTTTTTCCCAATTTATTTAAAGTTTATCCAGATGATAAGACCAGTCAATCTTCTCGTCTATATGAGTCTTTGTGAAGTTAGTCTTTTCCCATATTGTTATATATTTATCCGTTAGTTTGTGCTAGTTTGCAAGTTGCAAGTTTGAGCTAGTTTTTCTGAATAGTACTAAATTAATTTTCTCCCAATTTAAAATTAAGTCGTTATCAATTAACCATTTTTCCTTTCATATAACATATTGGCTATTGTTTACCAAGTTCTAAGTTTAAATTATTTGCATTTCCGGTAAACGTTGGTGTCAACAAGAATGTAAATGTAAATGATAGTTTGCCAGAGTTTGCCAGAGTTTGTCCGTTGACGAATACAAATACAATATTTCATAAAGATTATTTACAGATAATAATTTATAAAGATATTTTTTTACACATTGCCAGTTGAAAAATTTTGTAAAAAACGTTTGTAACTGATCATTATCTGTGGATCACCTTGTGAAATGGTTCATCAAGCCCAGTTCAACTTTATGAATATGAAATACGCCAGATTTAAAAGCATTGTTAATAGTCCAGTCCAGTCAGATTAGACTTAAAAGGCCTATTTGGGGCACTAAATGGATGAAGGGAAAACATTATTGTAAGTTGGTCGGAAAGCTGCCAGAATATTGCACAGGACAATAGTTCTTGGTGTTAGTTCGAAAGCTTAAAAGTTTGTTCAAATAATCCAATTTTTTCGTCACTAATGAATTTTAGAAGGTTTTAAAAGTATTCAAATCTTGGAGATTTTCATCCGACTCAAGCTTCATAAAAACTTCAGAATTTTATCGTCTAAAGATCAATAAAACAATTTACTCCAGAAATTTCAGCGTGTTTACTTGTTTCATTTTCATTTATATTATGCGATTTGTATGTGAATATAAGGTTCCGCAAGCATCAAAGTCCAAAAAAATGTTTTATGCTAATTTCAATTATATTTTTTATATCTTCATTTGAACAGTTTTATGTTAGGAAGTTTAGTTTAAGATTACTGAATAAACATAAAATAAATGTATACACCTAATTAGACGGAAACACTTAGAGCTTACTATAGATCATTAAGTTCTTTGGAATATTTAATAATTTTTTATTGCATTTTATTTTTGCTGAATCCAAAACATCGATGTTTGGGCAAGAAAACTTAGGGTTAAATTGGTGCGTTTTTGAGGCTGTTGATCGTCAAAGAAAATAACTTTTTCCGTAACATTTCGTAAGCACGAGTGGCTTGCAACTTTTTCTAATTATTAATCGCTTAATATAGGAAGTGAGGAAGGATTGAATATACAATTGGAAACACGCATTATTTTCTTATCAAATAAATCATCCATTCATTAATTATCAAAAACGTGTAGTGACTCAATCCATCCACAGTGTGTTTGCAAATATTTAAATTAACTTTTAATGTACATCATTTCAATCATATTTTTTCACCTCTAAATTAACGTTAATTCGACATCATGTCTTTAAATTAAATAAATTAACACTGCGTTAGTTTCCTATCTGACAGAAATTTTTCCCAGCAAAGCAAATTCTAACAGGATCAAAGAGCTTTTAATACAACTTGTAACTTATACGGTTTAGGCGGACTAATATAAATCATCCTATAAACTATCGTTCATTCAGCTTTATATTTAGAATAAGAGCCAGCTGACAAAGAAGCGATTAAAAAATAATTTCAAAAGTGTTCAATTGCAAATGAGTGCCAGCGGATTCTGGGCATAATTGCGGCCTTTTGATCAGATGGATTAAAATGTACACGATATTTATTAGGAATCACAGGCCCTTACTAGGTGTGAAATAGGAAATGAGAGAATGTAACAGTCTTCCCCGTTATGTAACAATTTTTTTTAATGTGTGTTTTTCTTATCTATTGGATTTGAGTTAAACCAAAACTGAAACAAGGAATTTTGTTAACAATTATTGTATACAATGTGAAGAAAGAGAACCACAAATAGTCGACATTTTCAGCTTATTGAGTAAAAAACAAGTTTGACATTTTTCTTATTTGTACGGCATTATAATAGTTGACCAAACGAAAAGGGTGAAAGTAAAGTACTTAAGGTCTTAAAGAAGTTCTAAAAGAAATGGAACATGGTATTAAAAATCGGATAAAAAATAGCCACCATCTTCTACAAGACCGTTGCCAAGTTATATTAACAAAAAGTCAATCAATAACCGTTACAAAAACACATCAACTTTCTTCCACTCTATTGAAAAAGGACGACTATCATTGAAAGAAAACATATTAACATAAATTATTTTAACAAGATAAGAAATATTGGATTATAAACGTTCAGAAAGCACAAAAACATTCACAATATGGTTTATAACTGCTGTTTTTGTATCGATGAAGAGCCTAATCTAAGTAACGTAAAGTAACCGAAGAGTTGCTGTTTTAACAATATCTGGTTCGTAATTATTGGTATATTTTATGCAAGTGGAAAACGCATTTCAGTGTACTAACAAATATAAACAAACGTACGTTTCTATCCGCTTCCTGTTATGGAACAGAGCAGATGTCGGCTGTGAAACATTGCTTAAATAATTAAAGAAAGTGCCAAAAACCCGTTTAACGCATAACTTTTGAACCATACTTTTTTTTCAAGGATTAAAAATACCTACAATATTAAACAAACTGAATTAAAATACGTTCATTTATTTACTCAAAAAACGAAAAAAACCGCCTATGTTTGGGTTTTTTTCAATTTTCTTTAATTAGTTTATTTTTGCTTCAAAAAAATTGTACTACAACTTTTTTGAAGGTCTTTGTATCATCATCATCTTGCTCATGCCTATTTGTTTTTAAAAAAAGGTTCTTTCTACATTCTAAATAAGTTTTTATTCTTGAGACGTCGGAGAGACTTCTCTGAGGCTGTATTTTACTCGTAAAGAGTTATACTACAGCGCACTGGCGGCAATTCCAGCCTTCGCACAGCTATTTTCAACTTAATTTTTAAACAATTTACCATTCAGTAATAAAATTTTTCTTTATTGTGCGGTGTTGTATAACTCTTTACGAGTAAAATACAGCCTCGGAGAAGTAAGTCTCCAACGCCTCAAGAAAAAAACTTATTTAGAATCTGTCAAGAGTAATTTTTACATAACAAATAGGAATTAACAGAAAGTTGTGATATTTTAAGCTAATATTTATACCACTTATAAAGTATACACATACCTTCAAAGAGATTATAGCAAAATTTTTTTGAAGCAAAACTAAATTAATTGTGGAAATTAAAAAAAAAACGTTAAAATAGGCAGTTTTTTCGATTTTTGAGTAATCAAATAAACGAAAGATTTTAATTTAGTTTATCTCATATTGTAGGTATTTTTAATACTTAAAAAAATTATTAAACCTTTTTAAAAGTAATCAACTAATTATTTAAACACTGTTTCCCACAGCCGGAAACCGCGCTGACTATAACGCAAATAAAATTATTGTCCCAATTATCTGACTTCCTTCCAAACAACTTCAACTAATCTTTTACCTTCATTTATTAAGTGCGCGGAAAAATCTAATCCGACTGGACTATAATTCTAAAACACAGTACATGCTTCAATTTACATACAGAGAAGTTTTATGAAGCTGTTTGGTATTTCATTCACCTTCTTTTCATTCATTCATTTAAACACATTCGCGAATCGTTTAGGAAAAGTATATCACTTTATAAATAGGTTAAGTATTGAATATCTCATCAATTTTATATAAAAAATAATGTTTAAATAAATTTTTAAAGAATAAGCTGATAATCCCAAGTAAAACATGCATTAAGTAATCGACATACGCAGCATAAAAAAGGCACGTGTTCAAAGGGGCAAGAAGCAAACACAAATCACCGCCATCAATCATACTAAAAACAAGCACTACATGGTTATTACGTATGACATGTGTTGTGCGTAAGAAAATATCGAACAAATAAATTAGTTGTTACTGTCTGAAATTGATAAAAAAAATCGGAGTTTGGGAATTTAACTCAACATATTTGGGTTAGATTTATTTTAAAACTAATATCGCGTACACAGTATGTTTCAAGGTAGCCTAAGTTGCTAAGTTGCATATTGCTTTATTAATGAACCAACGTATCAAAATTGGCGTTTTGTAAATATTAATTATTCAAAGTTGATTCTTTATACAGCATGTTTTAATATACGTGAAAGTAAAATTTAATTAATTTTTATAGCAGAAGCATGTATTCGTATTTATCTAAGATAGATATTATTAAATTTATTTAAATAAATAATGGATGAGAAAATGAAGGCAAAACATTATCTAAAAAATGAGATTATTTTTCATCCCGCTGCTACCTAACAATATATTTAATACATTTTGGATTTGATGCGACCTTCCTAAAAACTAGCACTAATTAGATAGTATAGGCAAAAGTTTATAATCCACTTGTGTTGGTAATGAATTTACGGGATTTTGGGAGGCAGACCAAATAGACTCTAAATTACGGCAGATTTTACGAGTCTGTCAGGACAAATCTCTTTTTTTCTCCGCAGTCACAGAAAGCGTCTTGGTGGTCTATTTGGTTCCATCTAATCTTGTTGGCTTTTACGACTGACACTCCAGTTCTGATTATTTTTAATGTTTGCACGCCCTCACAACCGGTGCATAAATGCGAACTACTCCCGAAGAACCACATCAGTACAGTGTAAGCTCCCAAGCAGACCACCTCTGGAAGGTACAAGCCGCACGTGCTTGCAAAACGTCAGGAAGAAATTCCATTTTACGACAGCCTAAAAACACGAAAAACTCACCAGTATCCACTTTGGCTTTCTTCAGTAACTATCTCTGGCTCAAAAACTCCATTAGTTTAAAACACACAGCCCACCTCTGATTGTGCGAGTCCCCCATGTAGAATATTCGACCTAGTTAGAGTCTCCACTTTGTTACACATTTTAAGTTTTACAGAATGAAATAAGACATTTTAAGTTTAAAAGAACCATGTTATTTTGTTTCGAAAAAATACTGTAGAATCGCAATTTCTAAGTTTAAACAAATTTTGCAACGTTTTTGTTATAATGTTTAGTCCTACTAATAGTTGGCTCAATAATCACTGAGTTACTTACTACTGAAAAGCTGCATAAGAAAAGTTGAGCACATTCTATATATCTTCAAAGCTCAATGCTTTTACATTTGTGGCGTTCTCTCTAAATAAGCACCATTAACCCCATAAAATGAATTCCGCCAATTTTCAATGTCAACCTATATATATTTATACTAGACTTTATAATTAAAATAATAATCTTATTTAATTTTATATTTTGGCCAGCCCACACATCAAAATAATGAGCTACCTACATTTACCTTTATTTAGATAATACTGGTGCATACGTACTCATTTTCCAACCTTTGTCCAAACCAAAAAATAAATGCCAGTTAAAGCTGTATTAATGCCGTTTTAAAGTGTTGTGTATCAAATACTGTAAAGAAGATTTTTTTCTCAGTGCCATCGATTTTTGAACACATTAAAATTACGTTTAAACTTGCAGGATATGGAGGACATGGAGGTGGCTATGGTGGAGGCGGTGGATATGGAGGGGGTGGAGGTTATGGCGGCGGCGGCGGCGGTGGCTATGGAGGAGGCGGCGGCTATGGAGGAGGCGGTGGCTACGGCGGCGGATTTGGATTTGGAGGAGGTTTTGGGGGCGGTTATGGAAAATAAACGTGCTTACTATAAGAGTGGACAAATTTGATAATAAATAATTTTCGTTTCTAAATAGTTTTTGGAAACGATGTTCAATGCAAGAGCTCATGTAAATTTTCTGTTAATCTTAAATTAATTTCTAATTAAAATTGGTTTTAGTAAGACTTAAATATGAAGTTAATGTGTTATTAGTTTTATTCACAAACTTCTTTTTGGGCATTTTGCCTCAAAAATTTTTGTCTTTAAAAAAGTGTTATTAGTTAGTACCCTTCAAATCTTGCGAAGCAGGTAAAAAAAACTTAATTGGGAAAATGCCAGTAAAAAAAGGAAATACGTAGAACGTATATTATGAAAGTTTTCGCACTAAATTGAACTATCCTCAGCAACTACACCGAATATCTAAGATACCTTACTCGATATGTTATTGATAATTAGATTTGGTTTATTTGCGCCATGTGAAATGCTTTAAAAATAAGTAAGTTTACTACGGTTTCCAACGGTTTATACTGTGGTTGGTTCCTAGGCTTTAGGGTTCTTTTTATAGTCTTAAAAGTGGGTATTTTCCAATCCATTATAAACCAAGTATAATATTTTCGCTGAAAGATAAAATGCTTGTGAATGACATATCTTGCTTTTCGTAATAAATTTATACATACCTATGGGAGAGTTATTTAAATTAGTTTTCTGAATTTAGTGCATTTAATTTTTGTCCTACTTTTAAAAGATGTAATTTTTATACGTAGATTAGCACTATGCAATTTAGATTAACTGTATCATTAAAACTAGTTATATAATAAGCAAAACTAAAATCCAGTTTTGTTTATCCTTTGACATTTGTTAAGTTGTTAAGTATAAGTTAAAGGATACCTACTCTCAAAAAATTACCTTATATGGTTAAAGTTCTTTATCATTGTATTTTTTCGTTACTTTAAATGTTTACATGTATAGAACAGCCATTGAGCAATTCACAAATATAATATATAATGGCGTTCCGGGAAAAATGGTGAATTAGGGAATTAGGTTCCTGCTCGGGTGCCGATGTTGTATTGGCGTTCCGGTAAAGAAGATAATAAGAAATGGAGACACCTGGGGTATTACTGGTATAGGGACAAGTTTAGAATTGGAAGGGTTTTTCCGGCGGTTTCCTCGGGCGCCAGCCCAGGGGTCAATACGCACTGGGCGGAATAAAACACAATTAATCAACAAATAGTCTATTCAGCCTATTAAAAGAAAAACAGGATTGCTAACGCCCCAAGCAAGGCAGGATCTTTTACATTTTACAAAGCAAAATAAGGTTGATGGCCTTAACCAAGCATTACATTTAACGAAAAAGAAGCAAGATTTTCGGCCTCGAACTATAAAAAACCAAAATTACAAGACAAGGGGAGAGAAGGTGCATAACGGGGCGGTCATTACCTACTAGAGTAATGCCGGGAGAGATAAACCACATTTTTTGATTCGACTCTATCTCAACAAAAAATAGCTTTATTGACGTAAAAAAAATGTTGTCACGAACATTTTAACTAACTGCAATGAGAACTGTAACTAAATACCAAAAACTCGGACCCATTTGTTGGCAAAAAAATAAAATAAAAAACCGTTATGTGGTCCAACTAACCCGAAATCTGCGCGATAGTTGAACCACCAATTTGGGACAGTTGAACCACACAGGGAGAGATGAACCGTAACAAAGGATAAGGAACAAAATTAAACTTAATTATTTTTTTTTTTTATAAAATAATAAGTTTTTTTGCGGCATTCATTCCACATATATAAGTTTGTACCCGACTCATGAAGCCACCGGGTACACGACTCATGAAACACCTTCAGCACCTCTTATGCTAAGATCTGAATGACGGATGAGGAAAAGATGTAGGCAGTCGTATTCTGCCATTTCTGTGATTGCGTTAAAACGATGCTTCAACGTTAACTGTTTAGCAACAGCAAACATCATATGTCGCATATCATTCCGTGTTGGGGCAAAACCAAATTTTTGCAGCTTTTTACATGTGCTACTATCGTCGCTTCATTTTCTTCTCTTAAAGTAGACGAAGAACTCAGTGAGCCAGTTTTTTAGTTTTCCGCACGGCTTTCTTGTAATTAGAGCAGCTTTGGGAATATTAAAGTGTCTGGCTGCGGCTTTGACCCCCATTGTTTTTCTATCTATAGTATTTACAACATTTTTGAAGTCTTTTTCGGCCTATCTAGCTCTTTGTGAGCTCAACATTCGTTGGTACTGTGTAGGTATTGTATAAAACAGAAAAATAAAAACCGGTACAACTGTCCCGATTTACTCTGGTCCATCTATCCCAAATTTCAGGGATAGACGGATCACCCAAAAACAAAAAATCTATTTATTAATCGGCTTTTACATCATTTACGTTGTCCTGAATGAATACCATGCAATGCATTTTTAACCACAAATAGCATTTTAAAACTTTCTTTTAGTTAGAATGGCGCCTTCAAAATACCGTTAAAAAAAGTTCTACCATTTGTAAATGCAGAAACAAATAAAGCCACTCTCGAAAATTAACTACACACAAAGCTACTATCGGAGTGCAACTGGTAGTCGTTTGTTGACGGGGTGGCGTTGAAATATTCTTCATATACCATGTATACCATGTACAGTCCAAAATAGTCGACTAGTCCATCTCAGGCGGTGGTTCCTCTCTCGTGGAATTACCCTATGTGAAGCATCAGCGGTGGTGAATGGTTGTATATTACTTAATTATTGTATGGTATTATTATATTATTACGCAATCATATTCTGTATCGGCGAGCGATGTTAATGCGGGTTTGATTTGAAATCGTAAATCGAAGCGATTGTCGGAATTTTACTCGGAATGAATTTGATGTCAGGAAAACTTCAGTTCTTCTTCGTTTTCTAATTATAATAAATTATTTAATCTCGGTCTAGTTGATGGCGTCGACTGATGGACACCTGGAATAACTGGACAGTGAAAGACAGTTACTGGTGAATAACTTACAGCGCAAACTGGTTCTTTAGAGTTGCCATTCTAGTTTGAGTTCTATTGGAACGTCGGCCAGACAGGAAAACTTTGCCATAACTGGCTGAACATGACTCAAACATTTAGATCTTATTATTCACAGGAAAACAGGTCGATTGTCGACAAAGGAGTTTTCGTTCAGAAGTTGCTTTTGAAGTTTATGAAATTAGAAAAAAGATCGTCAGTCGATATAAATCCAGCACAAGGGGAGGGGTGATGACCCCCATGACCCCCCTGGATCCGCCCTTGGGCAGAATGAGGTCAGAATATCCACCATCGGTCACAAACACGGTGTTTTCTATTACTGCAGGCAGCGCGGAACCTCACTGAATGGGAATGAGATGTTGTGACCATGTGGCACTAAAGTGGAACCACTAAAGAAAACGACAACAAATACGGGGAAAACATGGCAGGTTGAAATTTAACCGAGAATTGCACTGACACGGGCTTTGTAATGGGGCGAAGGACCCAAGGCACCCTATGGCTTTTATTATATTGCATACCTACCGGGCGAAATGTCGGGAATGATCTACGAATAGGATACTATACCTTCTGTACTTATCAGGAAATGTCTTGTGTGGTCGGTAGGATAGAAAGATCTATAGTCTGGTCGGTCGCACAGAAAGATGCCGTCTGGTCGGTAGGACAGAAAAGATCTCCAGCCTGGTCGGTCGAACAGAAAGATGTCCATGACGACTGGTCGGTCGGGGGGTCAGAAAAGGTCTAGTTTGGTCGGTAGGTCGGAAAAAATCGGTCGAAATTCCGTGTGTTGAAAGTTTTTTTAGACTTAGCCAGTTAAGGCTTTTAGTCTTTAGTGCTAACCTATGAGTAAGCTTGGGTGAGGTAGGAGATTATTTGCCTGGGATTAGTGATTGAGAAAAAAAAATATATCCACTGAAAAAGAAGAGATAAGTTTTGGGGTAGTTTGGAAGAAACTGGTTCTGTGGTTTGGCCTTATTTATCTTTAATGTGTTTAAATTTTGTTTTTCAATAAGCCAGGTTTTTTTT